GTAATACATAACTCATCATTTCCTCTCACTCAGCAACGCAGACAATTTTTCCGTTTTGAAAAATTGATTTCACCCGCCGTGCACTATCCAAGCCGAGGGAAATTTAGATATCGTTTGAATACCTTCGTCTCGAAAGCAGACCGCAAGAAACCTTGGGAGCTGAAAATTTTACATAGAGAAGTTCACGAATGCGGTTTCGATGGCTGAATACCATCCTCGAAATTATGGATTTAATCTGAGGATCTCGACGGGTAATAAGCACAGACTCGCACCTTTCGTGGCTTTTCTCGGAACGAGGAGATAACTTATAAAGTATGCAGGTAGATCGCAAGACTGCCGTGCAAAGGAAATACGCCGTATGACCCATCAGACTTGCCAAATTTCCCTCGAAAAATCAGGAATTTTCGGGAAAATTAGTGAATATTTCTCCACCGATTTATCACAGGATTTTGTTCGTAATTTGATATAAAAAAAATTGAAAATCTCTAGTAAAAATATTCATAACTTTCTTTTAAAAAAATTTTTCAAGGAGGAAATTTGGCAACATTTAATTGCTTGTGCGGCTTTTTTACTTAGCACGGCAGGGTACTCCATTTGCGCTACTCGGGAAAACCAAGCATATTAAAATCTGAGTGGGAATCGGGATTACTAGGCGTTCACTCTTGACACAAACCGTCACTTTCCGGCCTAAGTATCACAAGCGTCATGCGACGTTGCAAAATTTCCGCCGCCATTTTATTTTTTTTACAGAGAAATTTTTTGTTGAATCTATTTGAAAATTTCACTGAATTTTACCGGCAGCACAAAACAAATTCAGTAAAATATTCGGAGAGTTTCGTTGAACAATTTCTCTGTGAAAAAATAAAATGGTGGCAGAAATTTTGAAATATCGCATGGCGCGTGTGATGCTTTGGCTGGGAGATGACGAAATGCGACCTCGTCAGGAATTTAGGCCCCCTCCCTTCCGGTGGGTGCAGTTTCGTACTGCTCATTTGAACATTTCCATGTTTATGGTTACTTTGGGTTGCTTCGAATCAATATTTTTCTGTCAGATCAACCAAAAGGACTCGTTTGATTGGCCGAATTTTTGTTTTGATTGACCGAAACCATTGGTAATTCCGTGACGACTGGGGACGAAAAGCGTGTCCTGCAAATAAACTAATCTACTCTTATTTCTCTCGATGTCATTCAAATGTTGCGACTTACAAGTGGCTAGCGCGTTGGACTATTGACAAGTTCCCTCATTATTTCGCAGATTATGAGATGCGCTTAGAGATAAGTAGAAAAAATCGACGATTGAGAGAAAACTTTGAAAAATGAGCAAACAATTTTGCGAGGTAAATGTTTAAAGTATGAAAAAAAACGTTCAAAATTTGCATGTATATTTGGAGTTCAAAATGAACCCTTTAAACGGCCGAAAACCAAAGGTGAGGTGTGAATGATCGATTATCGATATTTCCCCATTTGAAGCTATGGTGAAAGATCGACTATTGCTCCTTATGAACATCGTATTATTCGATCCTTTTTCATAAGTTTAAATGGCAAATCAATCGATATATCACAAAGCAAGCCATGCCACTGCTGAAAACATTCTGTTTTACTTTGGTGCTTTTGAATTTTCAGCCTTTTCACCGTTTTTGACGATTTCACCTCTGATTCTTTCTGAATTTAGACTTTACAATTTGTGTTATTATGTCAACACGGCAAGGGCTTTATGGGCACCGGGAATACGGTTGGATGGGCATGTGTGAAATCCATGAATTCTGTGAAACATTACTTTCCAGGAAACTTCAGTAATACTGACCTATGCAATACTTCCGTTCAATCAAGTGGAATGATAATCCATGGAAATACTGACATTGAAAGTACAATTTATTTTTTGTGTGGTTTTTTTTCTCACTCTTTGTCGGTGACTCTGCTCATCCTGGCCGCCACGATACGACTGGGCGTGGGTACTTGCGCGGTGATCATGGGTCATGAATCCTGTTCGTTTTGATCCACTTTTTAATGCTAAGTTTGCATCCTGGATATGAGAGCTGAAAATGGCAGTCATAAGTCGTTGCTCAGCAGTCGTGATTTAAAAAATGCAAGTTTTTATATTTCCAAAATTGAACCAAATCCATCCGAAAGGCTCAGACGAATTCTGCCGTGTTAAGGAAGAACGCCGTATGAACATTCGAGAGTTGCCAATTTCCTTCAATTAAATGTTTATTTTTGAAGAAAGTTATGAATATTTTTCTTTGAAATTTTCAAGGATTTAAGGTGAAATTACGGGAACAAAATCATCTGAAAAATTTGAAGGAGTTTACCAGGAGCTTTGTATTTTATCAAAATAAATTTGGCAACGCCTGGAGGTTCATAAGGGGTTTTCCTCAGCACGGCAGAATGGATGACTGTTGCGTTCTCGATTCTCATCTACTCTTGAGAAACTGCGCGAATTGTCGCTGGTTAACGATCGAATTGCTTCCTCCAGGATTTTTAGCAATAACAAAGAAATTAACGTATCTTATTTATCGAAAGAAAATATGTTACTTGCCATCTTTAAAAGAACAACCAAATAAATCAGTAAAGAATTGCATGCCTTGTTTAATTCATACTTAGTTTTTGGATTTTCAATTCATATAGAAATACATCCTATTTCACTCTCTGAAAAGAATATCCGCCTGCCTTCCAAAACAGTCTGCGCAGCATTTTTGGAATACCCCTCGTCCCCTTACATACAACATAATAATACATTGAAATATTGCATTTTGTTTCAAAGTCTAAAAAACCACAACTATAGTTGCTTTATTGAAAATTCGGGTCGGGGTTACCTTGATATGCATACACAATTACGACGAATCATTTTGTCGAAATTCTCCCCCGGGGCCCCCCCCCCCCTCAAATCCTTTTTTTTCGTGGGGATTGTTGCACCCCTCGAGTAAAATAAAGGCAGTTGATATGATGGTACGGTCCAACTAAGTCAAATGCTTGAACTAGGATCATGGGTATCGCAAGTTTGCGATTAATGGTTTGGAGACTTAAACGCTGCATGAGAAAAGTAAACCAAAAAGCCATTATGGCGATCGTTGCGATTTCAAAGCGAACTTCTCTTTTCCCTACACCGGCTATCTATTTACATGCAAGAAGTTGCTCGTGTGATATGAGTTTTCTAATGCAACTTATATGATGATGATCGTTGTCAAAAATCGGAGGGCAATACTCCTTTTCCCTCAGAGGAATTTGTCTAGGTCACAGAGGGCAGATAGGAGAGAATGGTATACTGCCGTGCTAAAGAAGAACGCCGTACAAATATTCGAGAGTTGTCAAGTTTCCTCCGATAGAATGCTTATTTTTTGGGAAAATTATCAATATTTTTCATTGAAATTTTCAAACTTTTTAAATCAAATTAGGAACAAAATTATCTGAGAAACTGGGAGAAAAATATGCTCAAATTTTCTTGAAAATTGGTGATTTGTCAAAAGGAATTTGGCGACACCTGAAAGCTTGTGCTGCGTTTTTCCTTAACACGGCAGAGTGCTGATTAGGGAACGATGATACATCACCATCACGCAGAAGTTTCTTGATGCCCCGGGAAAAAGCATTTATCATTTTAACATCCAAAAATTCGCCATCTTACTCGAAGCGTTTTAATCTTAATTTTTTATTCGTAGGTAATAACTCTTTGCCTGCTATTGTGTAATAGACTAAGTTCGGAGGAAGAAACTGCTTCCCTAGAGAAAGAAAAAACACTTCATAATTTTCAAAGAAAAATTGTTAAAGAAAATCAGGCCTTTCTATCATATCATATACCTTACTTCAAAACGTTTTTGGAGACTTCTAATCGAGTTAAAACAAATTGATAGTTCCAGCTTCTTCTTCAGCAGAGCCTCCCCTACACAATCAGTCAAAAACATAAACATGCTGAATCTGGACGGGTATACTGCCGTGCTAGAACGCCGTATGAGCCTTCAGATGTTGCCATGTTCCCCTCAATTAAGAACAAATTTACGTAGAAAATTTTAAATATTTTTCTCTAAACATTTCAGACAGTTTCCTGCGGAAATTACCCTAAAATATTTGAAAATTGCAAGGAAAAATATTCATGACTATCATCAAAAATACCTGTTTTATCCGGGGAAATTTGGCAACCCTCGAATGTTCATACAGCGTTCTTCCTTAGCACGGCGGTATAATCCCTCCACTCCCCACTTAAAAGGGGTCCATTTTCACAGCCTCCCCCCACTTTTGAATTTTAAGAAAAAAAAGTGTATCATAAACACTGGAAAAAAAACACATTGGATCTAGAATCCAGACTCTTAAAAACATCGACAAGGAAAAGTACTCTTGATTCAATCAGAATCTAGCTTAAATCAAGAACCATAAGCCTCTTAATTTAAGCGGGTTTCGTTTTGATTCAAGAAAAAATCCGATTGAATCAAGAGTCTTTTTTCTTGTCAATGTTTTCAAGAGTCCGGACTCTAGATCCAATGATTTTTTTTTCCAGTGAATTTTTGCCAACTTTGCGCTATTTTGTGCCGCAAATTAATTATTTTGTGCTGCAAACTTAAGGGGAGAAACGCTCCTCAAAATGGGGGGGGGGCTGTAGAAACGGTAGCCCCTCCTAACTATCGTATTTCCAAAAAGAAGAATACCATAATTTTGTGCTAATTTTGTTTCTTTCTTAAAATTNGTGGGGGGGGGGGAGGCTGTGGAAATGGACCCACTTATAAGACCCAAGTCGAAACGTCAAAGACAGGGCGTCAGCGAAGCAACGAAAACAATGCGCGTGAGCTTGAACTTGAGGCTTTGAGATCAACTTGCGGTCCGCCAGCAAACCGCACGGAGCCGCAGAAGCGGGGGCGCCAGCCCCCCGCCCCCCCTCC